TTGAGGCACAAAATCTTCACTAATCTTTGATTAGGCCTTTAATTAGGCAGTGAAACATATTAGCATTATATATAAAGAGTCATTAATTAGGTGGTATATATAAAATAAATCATAATGTAGAGTATAGACTGTATATTGGATCCTACTCCACCACTAAGCTTTTCTTAATATATGCAAAAATATCCCTATCCGTGTGCTTTCATTATGCAATAGAATATTATTTTGTACATAGTTAGTGGTTGCTTTGGAAGCAATGGTTCTCATTAAGCTTCAAAACTACCTCCAATTAATAATAATTAAGAAGCTAATATGATTCTTTCCTCAGCTCCATTCCCCCACCTATGTCTGGTCAAAGACTCGAGGCCAAAAATAAAAATAAATCACACGTGTGCATGCATGCATACACATTCAACTACGACTCATGTAATTGAACCAATAACATGTTTTAATAAACAATTAATCAAATTTTATTTTCAAACTTCAAAACCGCAGCACCATCATTTGTTGTAAATTATTATTATTATATGTACATATATCCAAAGTAATATTTCTTGCTAAACCGTCTAATCACAAAATTAAATAATAATTCATTTCATAATAGTTTCAAATACCTATTTGGTTGAAAAATATGATTGTACATGTGAAGTTATAAACTTAAAAATTCTAAGTTCGAAATTGGAAGTCACAAAACAATTTCCTCACTAACCAAAATATGATTATATATAATTAATTTCGATTACAGATTAATAAACACGCCATTAAAGAATTTTAGATGGCAAACCTGTTCAATTTAAATTTTCAGGAAGCAATCAAGTGGGAATTGTACTTTCCAATGTTTCCTTCATTTCGTGGTCAACGATGTGGGAATGTGGCCAACTTTTGCTTCGTTTTGTATGCTTAATAGTAAGCATGTTATTAATTTTGTTTTTTGAGAAGTAGAAGAATTGTTATATTATAAATTTGCGTATAATATGTGTGATTTACTTCAAACACAATTGATGAAATACTCGAACTTGAGGTTTTCAATAAAGTTGAAAAAAAAACCCTACTATACCAATCTATATCTTCTTTGGTTTACAAATTTTTAATACACTAATTTACAGAGGAGAAGAATCGAACTCAAGTGCAAAAGATTAGACGCACTGACCAAACGAATTACGCTAATCTGCATATGAAAAGAAAAAGAATTATGACTAATATTCCTTAAGATAAAATGCTCCCACAAGTCAGATGAAAAAAGCTCTAGTATAATGAGGAATTCAACTTTCCTCGTGCTTCTTTCGGCAATTGCATTTCGTTTTAATGCTCTCTGTTCTTTTCTTCTATTTTTTTCCCCTTCTCTATAAGATATTCTATTCTGCAGTATCATTGATTTATGTTGTTACTTTGTTTCTGTTATCTCAATCAATGTTCTCATCTTGTTGAAGGTGCCAAAAGAATATACAAAGAGGAAAATAGAAAAATAAAAGTGTGGTCCACTGCAAGAGAGCTGTGATTTATCAGGATCAACTTCAGTTGACTATTCAATTTGATTTGTGACAAAGATAAGGTAATAAAATGTTAGATGAATGAAAATGAGGATCACCATGTCCGACGATTTGGGACAACATAATAGGCAGATTATTAATTAAATTACTTATCGCGAATGTGAACATGTATTTGTCAACATTCTCAAGGACGGAGTTAGAAATTTTCTCGGAACTTTACTATAATATATATATTTTCTTCTATTTATTATGTGTGGGTGGCTGACTGACTTTTTATAAAGAATAAACCAATTCTTACAAAGGTTTGGCGAAAATATCATCTCGGAAGTTGTAATAATGACGTGTGCTTGTAATTTTTTTAGCAACAAAATAACGTGGAAAACCTTGTTCTTTTTTTTGTTGTTGTTGGAAAATAAGAAAAAACCCTGCTCTTAGAACAACCAACTATTGTTCTTTTTATTTATATTCTATGAAATTATTTTATAAATAATCCATTGGGTTATGCTCTGTCCAATGACTTGGAAACAGAATGTCCTGCATCGGAGAGGAAAAACTAGTGGGCTCATGACACGTGGGTACGGAAACGACCAAACCACGTGGCTAAGCTTAATGAGCTAGGCATTATGACGTGTACGGTGGGACCACACACAAGGTTTTTTTTAATATTATTTCATCTTGGGGAGCAGGACCACCAAACAGATCGGAGTGGTCAATAGATATATATGTGTGGTGAAGTGGCAAAAGCCAACCCCAACCCCAACCCCAACCCCATCTTTGTAAGAAAGTGCATTTCACGCTCATCTTAAATTTAAACCAAATTATAAATAAATAAAAATGAAGTAAATTAAAAAAGAGTATATCATTTCAAGACAATGTTATACATTTTGATGTTGGGTTTGACAACATTTTAAAATTTTTAAAAATAATAATATATGTGGGTATCATGTATAAGTTGGGAAAACAATAATTCAAGTTGAATTTGATAGAGCATGCGACTTAAATGGTGGAAAACATGGTCTCGAAGTTGTTAAGGAATGGATGCGTGATTTTCATGTTTGGCTTGGCAATTCCTATCCAATAATTTTTTGCCTTCGAGCTACTGAAATTATGGATTTGAATGCGGGACTTCATTTTGCAAGAGAGGAAGGCATTTCTAGCCTAGACATTGAGAGGTGATGCACTTTATGATATTTGAGAAACTATACATAAAATAAGAATTTAAGCATGGAAGCACAATTGATTGAAGATGTTAAGTTAATGTTGAAGATGCTTAAAGGAGGTTGTTTTCACAATGGTGGAACTAGAGATATGTTATTGACCGGGGTAGACAAAAGTATGAGAAAAAATAATTTATTTTTTAATTAAAAAGTCATATTGTAAAATCAAGATACAAAGTAAATACTTAAAAATACTAAAAGGGATGAAGGGTTTCTTATACACACTACCAAGTTGTGATGGGGTTCGAACTTAAGACCACTGATATGCAAGTAAATGCCCTTCTCTAATGGGGGCAAAAGCCAACGACTAAAAAGTCTGAAGACCATAAATTGAAATTGCAAATGGAAAAAGAAAAAGAAAAAAATCTTTGCAGGGTTTACACGAGCCAATACATAACGAGCTCCCTTACGCCGTTATGTTAAGCCTGAAGTCCGTCAAAACTTTTCTAATGCGTCGTCAGACGCATTCGGCGCATTTCAGCAATGTGATGATTACGGGAGGCATTAATTGTTCCGCCGCCGTTATTAGACGGTTCAAATTCAATTTCCCGTGAGCCCTACATACATTGTTAGCTTAATTAACTAGCACTAGCAAAATGAATAGAAAAATAAATTATAAAAAAACAAAACATAAATTATATTCGAGTTTTCTTGATTAATTAAGAAATATAAGCTTTTTATATTGGCATTAAAAATATTATTTTATACAAGAAGAGAGATTTAAAATTAAGTGTTTCATTCTAAATTATTGTTTTTTTAAAACCTCAGTGGTTCAAAGAGAACTTTATTAAATTGTTGTTTTTTTTAATTTGGAAAAAAATTTCTTCCTTATCATCATGGCATGTTCTATTTCTAAATTGTGGATTTAGATTGTTAATTCAAGGAAATGGTTTTTCTTTTTGAAGTTATACTACATCCCATATTTCCATACTAATAGTTTCTTTTATCAAATAATCTAGCATGTTATGTCGTTAAATTATCGATATTTGATCATAAGTGTTAAATGTGTTCATAACATATCAAATATCAAACAAAAGAATACTCAAACATTATAAATACAATTGTAATTGTCATATATAATTAATTTTTTAACATCACAATTGTCATCTTTGTGCTCATTGAAATTGTTATAATTATTTTGAGGTTATTTTTTTTTCTTTATCATTAGGTCAGGATCCCACACTTCTACTGATAATTAATTAAAACATGGGAGTCCCAATATCCCACACAAACAGTGGGGGTGGTCCCAATTATTGGTCAAGAAAATTTTAATTTTTTTTGTTAGATGATAAGAATTGTATCGGTTTATGTTTGAATATACAAATTGAAAATTTTTTTTTGGTATAAAATATTTGTTGTAAGGTCCAAACCTTCATTATGATGATTAGTCACCTACCGTGTACCATCATCTGCAAAGACTGAAACAGGATGTCAGGATTTGAGCTAAAACTCAAAGACCAAGCACTAAATTCATAATGGGAAAGGAAAAATATTAGCAATAGCAAGTACAATTATTTAATTAATTCTTCTAGTTCTTTCCAGTGGGATGACTGTTATAATATTATAGATCCCACTCAATTATAAGAGAAATAGAAAAAAAGGAATTTGGCCTATGATGGATAGATCCCATTCCCACCCAATTGCAAGAGAATTGAGAAAAACATAAATAAAAATAATTGGGCTTTTAAGAATTTGCAATTATAATATGATTTAAGAGAAAGAAAAAAAACAAAGCTTTTTGGGGATTTGGTAACGTCGATTCAGGTCAAGAAAAACCCAGCAGAATTAGAAAACCACAAAGACTCAGAAAGAGAGAGAGAGAGAGAGAGAGAGAGAGAGAGAGCTAAATCTTCACAATCACAAGGAAACCAAAAGAGAACCTGTTTTGGCTGTGCCGAGAAGACAAAGCAAAAAGCGGGTTTGTAACTGAAACACATTTCACAGAGAGAGAGAGAGAGAGAGAGAGAGAGAGAGGGAGGCCACCAGACTATTAAAAACCACAGTCGTTACAGACCCAAAAGAGAGAAAAAGAGAGAGAAATAAAAATAAATAAAAGAAACTAGTACTAGCACTAGCAATTATGGCTGCTAGCATAACCGTCCTGTCTGCTTAGCCTTTTTGCTCTTCCGGGTCTTCTTGTTCGTAAATGGGGTAGGCTATTATGGTATATACCATAGTGCGTGAAGACTGAAGAGGCTGCTGTTTGAGCTTTTCTTTGCTTTGTTTCAGTTCTCTTGGGTTCTCTGCTCGTGCACGCCACTAACGACGTCGTTGCTGGGTTGGTTTGAGCGTTTGAATGGCACACCTTGAGTGTGACTCCTCGATTTCTCGGGCGGAAACAGGTGGGTTGGTTTGCTTGGTAAGTTGAGCAGAGTTGGATGCATAGGAAAATGAAATGGAAATGTTAAAGATTTTGCCTTTCTATGTGTTTTTATTTGGGTACTGAGAAAACACAAAAAAACATTCATTGAAGTCTCTAGTTTGTTTTCTGTGTTGGGTGGTGGCCTAAAAAGTTGTTTATGTCTCAGTGGAGGAGGGGAGGATTCTAATATTTCAGCTTGCAGACTATGATAAAGTTTCCATCTTTAATATTTTGAGCTTGTTTTCATTTCTGGGTTTCTTCAGAAACCAGGCACAGGATTAGTTTATACCCTTTATGTTTATTTATCATTTTTCTAATATTTATGGTATACATTTCGTTTGATAGGCTTTGGAGGTGGTGATCTGTACACAGAGCTATGGAAGTTATGTGCAGGACCTCTGGTGGATGTGCCAAGGCCTGGGGAGAGGGTGTTCTACTTCCCTCAGGGTCATATGGAACAAGTACAATCCTTTCTATCCACTTGTTTTCGTCGTTTCTTAGTGGATCAAAATCTGTTTTTTTTTGGGGTTACATTTGTTTCCTTTTCTGGGTTTCTGATGATTTCTGGTTTTTGCAGTTGGAAGCATCAACAAATCAGGAACTAAATCTGCAAATCCCTCTCTTTAATCTTCCTTCTAAGATCCTTTGTCGTGTGGTTCATATTCATTTACTGGTATTGTGCTTCAGATCGTAGTTTTCCATGTATATCTATGGTTTTGTGCAATTTTTTGTATTTTGTTATCTGGAAAATTGATTTTTGTTGAAATGAGAGTTTCTTTAAACTTACAGGCAGAACAAGAGACAGATGAGGTTTATGCTCAGATCACTTTGCACCCAGAAGCAGATGTGAGAAACATGTTTTTCTTTTTTGTCTTATTTATTGTTTTGTGTCAACTTGCTCTGTTTGATTACTAAGAAAAAGGAGAAAAAAGATATAAAATCAAAATGTACAACCCAAAGCTGTGAATGTTTTGGTTCCAGAAATTAATGTTAAAGTCGCTTCAATTCAATTGAGTTATTTTCTTAATAACCAAAACTGAAGATTTCATGTTTTTTAGCTCTTTTCCACAGGTTTTGTAGTAACCAAAAGTGTGTATAGAATTATAAGTTCCAGCTCTGAAAGAAGTATAATTTTACCCCTTTTCTTTCTACTCATCTTCTTTCTGCTGGTACTACAGCAAAGTGAGCCTACCAGTCCTGATCCATGCATCCCTGAACCTTCAAAGCCAACAGTTCACAGCTTTTGCAAGATTTTGACCGCTTCAGATACAAGCACCCATGGAGGGTTCTCAGTTCTTCGAAAGCATGCCACTGAGTGCTTACCTCCATTGGTATTTTCTCTCATTTCCATGCATTTCTGTTGTTTTTATGCTAGTGGTTAATCACCGTTTTCTTTTCATATTTTCATATGCACTGCTGTTTCTATTTCATTAGGACATGATCCAAGCAACTCCTACTCAGGAGTTGAACGCCAAAGATCTTCATGGGTATGAGTGGAAATTTAAGCATATATTTAGAGGTATGTGCAGCCAAAAGTTTGCTTTGTATAGAATGTGAATATGGGTTTTTATTTATTGTAAAAACTACAATTATTTGATTCTGAAGTAAACTAATCAGAGCACTAATATAGTATTTAGCCATGCTGAATGTTAGGAACTGTTCTGTTTCTGCGTATGATTACTGGGCTTATGTTTCACTTTAATTTCAAATGTTAAGGTCAACCCCGGAGGCATTTACTTACAACAGGATGGAGTACATTCGTCACTTCAAAAAGATTGGTTGCTGGTGATGCCTTTGTGTTTTTGAGGTAACTTTTGAAGTTTAAGATGTTTCTATTTTATTTTTATAATTAAGGTGAATGCACCCTTCATAGCTTGGCTTTTAGTTAACAAGAACCTATTTGTAGGGGTGATAATGGGGAGTTACGGGTTGGGGTTCGGCGTCTAGCTCGTCAACAAAGTCACATGCCTTCATCTGTGATATCAAGCCAGAGCATGCATCTTGGAGTGCTTGCAACTGCTTCTCATGCTCTTATGACACGAACCCTCTTTGTCGTGTACTACAAGCCCAGGTTTGAGGGATGCTTTTATTTTTTTCTGTAATTTAAGTTTTTTCTGTTAGTTGGGAAATCCATTTATTCCAGCACATTTGTTTCTTTTTTTCTTCCAGGACAAGCCAATTCATTATTGGCTTAAACAAATATCTGGAGGCCATTAACAATAAGTTTTCGGTTGGGATGCGCTTCAAGATGAGATTTGAAGGAGAAGAGTCTCCTGAAAGAAGGTGTCTATAATGGATTTTTGGTCATTAATGTTTTCTTAAACTGAACTTTATTGTAAATTTCTACATAATTTATTTGGCCAGGTTCACAGGCACTATAGTTGGTGTTGGGGATTTATCATCTCAGTGGTCTGAATCTAAATGGCGTTCATTGAAGGTTGAGATGTCATTGAGTTAGATCAGAATACTGTTTTATTTGCTCCCATTTGTGTACTTATTTTTCAATCTTATTCTTACAGATTCAATGGGATGAACATGCTGCAGTTCAAAGGCCAGAGAGGGTTTCCTCTTGGGAGATAGAGCCTTTTGTAGCTTCTGCTCCTATACATCTTGCTCAACCAGTAGTAAAGAGCAAAAGACCTCGACCTGTAGAAATTTCTTCATCTGGTATGAAAATTTACTGCTGTGGATTTTTTATTGATTAATATTCTTGTTGGACTCTTGGGCGGGTCTCAGTGTCTTGACTTCTATGTATCAATTGGAATGTAGAAATTACCACCAATTCACCTGCTTCTGCTTTCTGGTATCATGGCTCAACCCAGACCGTGGAGTTAAACCAATTAGGTGGTGTTCCTGAAGTCCAAAGCTCTGGTAGTCAGGTTGTCTGGCCTCTAAGGCAGAAAGAAAGCAATAGCAGCAGTTACTCTAGCTCGAGGGTCTACTCAGAGGGCATCTGGCCTTCTTCTCCACACGTGAATGTCTCCTTAAGCCTTTTTCCAGACTCGAAGGAGGGCAACAAAAATGTAACTACGGGTTCTGTTCTCTCTAGCGTTGCTTCCCCAGTTTCATCAAAGGCATCATCAAAGCCAAGTAATACCCCGATACCTGGCCAGGTGGGAAAAGAGAAAAAATCTGACAGTTCAGATTTATGGTTGTTTGGATATAACTTGACAAACAACTCTAAAACTGCCTCTCCCCCAGAGAGCGAGCCAGTGTGTAAAGCAATGTCGTGTGGTGGTAAAGGATCTATTACAGCTGCTGCATTTGAAGTTGATCAGGATCTGGATGTCTCAAAGCTCTCAAAGGAGCAGAAACAAGTAATCTCAGAGGCATCACCAGGAGAGACACAGGGCAAGCAAGGATTGACTCTCTCAACAAGAACTCGTACTAAGGTAAAATGTGGAGTCTTGCTAGTTCTATTGTTTCACACCACTACTTAAAAAAGCAGTTGTTTCTTATGAGCAATTGTTATTGTCTATTGAGAAGGTGCAAATGCAAGGGGTTGCTGTTGGTCGTGCTGTGGACTTGACTTCATTGAAAGGCTACGATAATCTAATTGATGAGCTAGAGAAAATGTTTGAGATCAAAGGAGAGCTTCGTCCACAGAACAAATGGGCAGTTGTTTTTACCGATGATGAAAATGACATGATGCTTATGGGCGATGATCAGTGGCTGTAAGTAACTTAAGATTTTATCTATTGCACCATTTCATTTCAATACAAAAATGAACTAAGGTTCTGAGAATATTCAACTTCTTACAAATGCAGGGACTTCTGTAAGTTGGTGAAGAAGATATTTATATATTCAAGCGACGAAGTACAGAAGATGAATAGATGTAAGCTTCAGAATTCATCTTTAGATTGTGAAGGGACGGTTAGCTTGGATTCCGAGCATAGATGTGAAACATGATAGTTCAAATTTCCTTCCTTCTTGTTGTGGGTTTATTTTATCTCCCTATTCATCTGGGAGAAGTTAGTTGGTAGTTGTTTTGCTCATATTTTTGGAGCATGTACTAAGCAAGCAGAAGGCTAGGTTGGGATTTGGGTTTTTGGTGATGGGTTAGCAGACTTTCATGCCAGAAGCAGAGCAGCTATTCTTGATCAGGATTAGAAATGGAATCTGTCAATACTTGGTGTGGTTGTGGTTAAGTTCAGTCGGCCTGTAAAAATACATATATATGTTTGGTATTTGGTTTCAATTTAGTCCTTTTGGTCACAATTGGCAACTTTTGCTTTTTGCTTGTTTCTCTTATTTTTGGTAACAATTGGCAACTTTTGCTTTAAGATGTCTAAAATGTGGAGGCAGGTGTGTTGTTTTCACAAAGATAACTTCTTGGAAAGGAGGTGTGGTGGAGAAAGGGTGAAAAGGAAGTATCAAAAGGTCTAAAATCCATTTGACAACGACAGAAGATATGAGAGCATTATCATTGTCTGTAATGACAATTTCAACTCACCAACTCTTTCATTTATTCATTTTAAAAATCATTTTAAGAAGAAGGGAAAATTTCAGTTGGACATGTAGAAGAGCAATCTTCTTCCCAGCCAAATGTAAGAATAAGATACTGAAACAAACAATATGAAATCTATTGCCCATGTTTGAAAAGGCATGTGCTATGCATGAACTTAAAAATATCATACTGGAGGCAAATTTGCACCAGGCTCATAATTTTTTGCCTTTATATCATGGGAAAAAGAAACTATGTATTATTATATTATAAACACAAAAAGGCTCAATTGTTGTTAAAAGATGTGGCTTTCATGCCTTTTTTCCCTAGTGTTTTGCAGACATTTCCGGAGTTGGCTTCTTTGAGGTTTCTTGAAAAATTGCTATTCATTTTCAAACAACTTCAGAATAAAAAGAAGACTGGCAGAGAGCCCTTGCCATGCCCTTTTTTTCTATTTAAATTTTTATAAATAGAACCCTTGCCATGCTCTTTGAATTTTTCTGTGCTCCATTATATTATTCTCTCATCCGGATATCTGCATGTTATTATCGTGCGGATGCTATTGTAAACATGAAATGAAGCAGGGAGGGTAATAGAAACACAAAGCGTCTGCATAATAACGTCCGAATGTCCGCATAAAAGAATTTCTGTATATATATAGAGTGTCACACACTGTTAATTTAAATCATTGAAAAAAAAAACATGAATTCTTTTTAATGCATGACAGAAATTGACAATTTGTATGATAAGATAAGACGTAAGAAGTAGAAGTCAATTGTTCAATATAGAAGAGCATATTATATATGCTTGATTTTAGGGGAAATGGAGCCGGGAAAGATTGTGTGAAAGCTCTGGTTTGTTTATTTTAAAACAATAATGAAAGACACATTCTCTTGTCTTTCACGTTAAAAGCATATAAAATATTTCACCAAAAATTGTACAAGACAGGACAGTGGAAGAAAATTTGTCCCGTGCTTTTGTTCTACGTTTATTTTTAGTTTTAGCAGGGGGAGGTGCTATTTGCATTCTCCAAACACCTCTTGCACTTTTGGCAAAAGAGCACGTGAGTGCAAATTCTTAATTGGGCTAGCTTTACTTAAACACACAAACTTTTTCAGACCATTTTTCATAGAGCTGTAAATTTTTAATGGTGGAAGTTGGGTAAAAATATACCTGTGAATTCACTTTGCCATTGAATGAGTTAGTCTGATTTAGTCCCTTAGGGCTCGTTTCGTGTTTAAGATTGGATTGGATTAGATAAATCACTAAATTCAAACTTGGACGCCACACGAGCGCTTAATCTCAATGTCTCTGTCTTCTAAGCCTGGGTTCTCATAACTCAACAGAAGAAGCCCAGAATATTTCAGGCTCTTACAGCTTCACCTCATCAGCTACAGAATTTCAGTTTCATGGGTTTTAATAAGCAGCCCTGAACTGATTAATGGGCTTCATTTGGGTTGCGTGGTTTCTGTCGTAAGCATGATTGTTTGCCACCACCACCAAACTCTCTTTCCACTGGGGAAAAAAACGTGTTTTGTTTCTTTTCATTTGTTGCTTTCTACTTTTTAGAGCTGTATGACATAATTACACTTTAATACTCTTTAATCATTGGTTTGCTTAGTTTATGTACTAGTTGAAATTTGGCAAATGATTATGGATTTAGTAAGTGTTAGCATTTTTGCCAAACAAAACAAACCAAATTATATCAACATCCATTAGGCTCATCTGATTTATTTTTTAGGACATTTTCTATTGAGAGGGGCGATAACATATAAAATTCACACACACTGTATGGATGCTATGACTCGAACTCAATGACCTTACTTGAGAGAGTAAATATTCCAAATCACTACACTAGTGAGTTCTTTGCGGCTCATCTGATTTCTAGATTCAGGATATATGATATTATGTGTTTCAATTTTCATTCAGCCCTCCTCTTACTTCATCCACAGGGAAAGAAAGAGGTAATTTTTTGAGGTTAAGGTATCGCAATGAGGTCTAAACTCTATAGTCAAAGGAGAGATAAATAAAGCACTTTGATCTTTGTGAGATCACAAATCTGCTTTGAGCAAGGGGTGTTTGATTATGAAAATGACTTGATGCTTTCTACTTTACCCCTTGACTTTTGCATCTGGGTGGCATGCCGCAGCTAACACGCTAGCTAGAACACCGTTTAGCCACATAAGTACTCCTAATACCACATATCATGAGATCATTGTTTGGGCATTTACTAATTTGTCATTTTCCTCTTGTAGTAATAGGAAAATCTTGCTTTTATTATTATATTACTTCTTGCTGTATGTCATATCAGGCTCAGTAGACTTGTAGTGTGTTCCAAAATCAACTAAATGTTGCCAATAGAATCATGTTAGTATCCATTGTTTCTGAGTCTGCGAGTAATTACGAGTTATTGATGTAGGGGATGTAAATTTAGGGGTGCAAAATCACTTTTACATTCCTTTACACCTTCGGGGGTGTAAATATGTTTTTTGCTCCAATAAGAGGGTGTAAATTCGGAGGTGTAGTTGTGGGTCATAGCATTTTATGTTGACTTTTCTTCATTTTTCTTTTCTTTTCTCGGGTGGGTCCCGCCTGCAAGGGATGTAAAAATAGATGTAAATATACATTTTATTTTACATCCTCATAGTGGTGATGTATATTTACATCCATTTACATCTCCCCATTGTAGATGATTCCGGTGACTCGGGGTGTATATTTAACATACACTCTCATATACACCTCTCTACTGTGGATGCTCTAAGCTTATTTGCATTACTCGTTGCAAGTACTTGAGGCTTATAGAAGTAGCGCCCAATTTTCTACAATTCATGCAGACCCAATAGAATCATGTTAATATTAATTATTTATGCCCTTGTAAATGACTGCAAGCTGTTGATGCATAATGAGACCATCAGCTCGCATTCGTATGGTTCTTTTCAAGTACTTGGGGTATATAGAAGTAGAGCCCAATTTTCAACAATGCAGGCAGGGATTTACTTTGATTGTTAATAACATCTGTGGTCAATTTGGAGGCAGGTTGTTTAGACTTTCAAAACCCAGCTGGTGTCCTCTTAAGTGCCAGCCTCTCTAAATTCAACTCTTTTGCATTAATTTTTTTCTCGTGCTTGAACCTTTTATAGATTTCGATAAAGAAAAAAGAACCTTTATAGATTCTAAGGGACACGCTCATGCACATCTGTTGTTGCCTTGAGAGATTGGGATGGTTGGTTTTTAGTGACAATGGAGAATGACATGTTTTTTGGAAGGGCGTTGATTGACTAACTAAAGTCCAAGAAAGACTCAGTGTACTACTACTGAAAAGGGTTTTGTTCTCCATCACAGGTTGGCATCCTATGCTTCACACTTGCAATAAGGTATGCTCATGTGCACCATTGTGCTACCATGTGGGCTTGAGAATTGGGTGAAATATGCCACAAGCCCTCATGTGATTGGCAGAGTAAGACTACCTCGGTGTACAGTGAAGTCAAGTCATTGTCAAAATTTCCCCAGTAACAGAGGAGATAAGATATAAAGCTGCTTTGCTTTTATTACCACATTCTCAAGCCAAGAGAAAAACTTAGTTGCAATGAGAATACCAGTGTTATCACGTGTGCTGTGTCGTAGCGCTATCGGTCGAGATAGTAAAATAATGCTATTTCTGTTTCATGAAAGTCTTTCGCCTATAGTAATTCTATTTTAAAAGAAAGGAGCAGGTGTAATGGATATTAGTGCACTCCACCAATTACCACATGGGTTTTTTTCCTGTCAAAGTCACAATTATATGAGAGCTTATGTGTTTAGCAAACATAGCAAGGCTCCATTAAGACAGATGTGACTCAAAGTGGTGGCTTTTTCCTTTTAAGACTTTCCTTTCTCTTTCCTTTTGTCTCTCGTCTCTTTTAGTCACTCAAAAAACTCTCCAACTCTTTTATGAGATTTAATCACCAGAGATCAGCCACAGAGAGATCACTAGAGGCCATGGGATCTGAGGCAGAGGTAGAGGAAGAGACACTAAAGCTACCCTTGTTTTCTGTCCCTCAAATTCAGTCACTTGAGCCTTCTGGGAGTTTAACCCCACCACTCTACACCTCAGTTTCAGTTCCATTTCGCTGGGAAGAAGAGCCTGGCAAGCCAAGGCCTTGCACTGCCCTCATCACCCTTCCAAACCCAACTGACTTTTCTCAAAAGTGCTTAGAACTCCCTCCAAGGCTGCTTTTGGAAACCAAACAACCTTCACCCACCACAGTCCTGGAGGGTCCTTATTTGGGCAGGTCAAAGTTTCAGTCTTCTTCATTTAGGATGGGCATGGAGTGTTATGGGGCTTTTAGCCCTGAGAGAGGGCAGCTTGGTGCTGTGGTTCTGAGCAAGAGAGGGCTTAAAGAAAAAGGGTGGTTTGATTCATGGGGGAGGAGGATCTTGAAGGGTAAAAGAGAGGTTGGTGGGGCTAGTTATGTCTTTCCATCATCTGTGGATGGAGAGAGTGATGGCAGCAGTGTGGGAGAGAGCAGCAGCAGTAGGAAGGTGAAGACCACAAGGATTAGAAGAGCTGGGAGCCTTTCTAGTCTCTCTCATGCCAGACCTGATTTCTGGGTAAATATTTCTTTCTTTCATTTCTTTTATCTAATAATTTTTAGCTGCCTCACATTCTGGCTTGCACTTTCCTTTACCTCTTATCACTTGACATTATAAATTTGGTGGAGTAGAAATGAACTCTGGTTAGTTATTGAGAAACTGGTCCAAAGCCATTAGAGGTCCCCTAGCTTTTTGCAAAAGGAGGAGGTCCCCTACATCAAAGTGTACCCAACTAAGCAGGTCTCTAAGTACAACAACATAAATTGGGTTGTGTAAGGTAGGCTGGGAAAGGGAATGAGGGTGAGAGAACATGTTATGTTGGCAGGTTGGGTCCAAGGTTTTGTACTTGGGAAAAGTCTTTTAAGTTTTTAGAATTTCATTTGGTAATTTTTGAAGTTTTTTTTATTTTTGTTTTTATGTATTTGATGTAAAATTACTTTGATTTGCAGACAACAATTTACCAGGGCTTGAAGCAGGCAGTTCCATGGAAGAGTAGAAAATTGAAGAAAGATGGGATTGTGATGTAGACTCATCTCTGGGCACCTTAGAGTAGGTCCAAATCAAAATTACCTGTCAACTGTTGCAGTCCAGTAATATTCTATGTGAATTGAAAATGACATTTTCTTTTCTACACAATCTAAGGATTTCATGCTGAAATCCGGAAAAGTGGACGTTGTTATGCGAAATGAAAATGGCTTGTAATTGTGTTTATGTAAAATGTAGACCTTATTTTACTGTTTTGCTTATTTCCATCAGCTGCAGCATGTCACTAGTAAATTTCTTGGTTGGGGTTACACTTTGCATTGTTTATATATAAAATGGAAATGAAATGGGAAGATTTCAGTAAATTTACATTTGTATATTGGGACAAAAGAATGTTTATACAAGACAAATGAATAAAGAAAAAAGGAATCCGAGCACAACTTTTGCGAGATCAGTTTAGCTATGTATAAATTTGTATCTAGAAATCCCCTGGTTGCTACCCTTTAATACATAGCTACTAATTGCTGCCAGAATTCTAAAGCAACGATTTTAGCACGAAGCACATTAAAGGAAATGCTCACAACATAAGAACACGTTCTTCAACCGTGTAGAAGAAGAAATGAAAACAAAAACTTTTGGCAAACAAGGAATGCATTAATCAGGCTTCAAATGAAGCTCAGCTACTTAAAGTTAACACAACAATGAAACGATTCATAAGCTTACAACAAAAAAGGATAATATTCAATATGCAGTATCACTTAGTTCTCCATACAAGATTGTCAGGTTTATTTCATTGCTGATGAAAATGGAAATAGGAGAAAAGAGGGGGAAGATTGTTCGAATTGTGTCGCCTGTATCAATGAATCATATCACCTCTACTTTTTACCTGTCATACCCGCAACAACCTGCAAAAAATGTCCAGGTATTCAGAAAACGAGTGATAATAAAGAAACATTAAAGTGAAAAGGATCTTGTTAAAATGTTGTAGGGGCATATGAAATATCTGGCCAAAAAGAGGAGGGTGTGAAATTTATATTAAAATAGACTCGGTTCCTCTCTGGCTACTAACACAGATCAAAGTGAATAATATTTTGCTGATTTTTAGCAAGCACCATCCATCACATGTCCAAACCCTATTTTCCTATCCTTTAGAACTTAGATGCTAATGGCTGTATAAGAGAACATAACCAAATCATGCACACCATGTATGGGATGGAGCAAGTTGAGAGGATCAAGTTGTACCATGTCTCTCTTTTCCTATCCTTTTCAACTTAGATGCTCATGGATGTGTAAGAGTACATAACCTGACCAAGTAGACCTATTTTAAGAGATGGGGAGCAGGTTGAAAAGGTCCATTGCATTCCATGTAGACCACCAATCTAACTATAAGATGAAGTACAGCCCGGACAATACCAACCTAATAATAAGGCATACTTACCAATGACAACAATAAGACTTTATTTATATATTTATAATTTATAATTTACAACAATTGACGCTACATCTTTTGAGCACTAATTAAATTCAAGTTAAATTTAAGTTCTAATCCCGCATGGAAGGAATCAGACATGAACAAATTCACTATGAACATCATAATATCCAAGTACTCCAATGGGGTAAAATTGCATAATTAGGTGAACTATGAATGAAAGATTTAAAACATGCGTCATTCAACACTCACATCGCTTAAAGCAGGCTGAGGGACTTGCTTAGAAGCTTCAAAGGAGTCTAGAATTGGCCTTACCACAGCTGGAAGGAAGAGACCTGAAATTTTATCCACAATAACCAATCAGTCGCAGATAGCCATAACCCCAACAGGGATGCCCTTCAATCCTTAATAGATACTGATACTTCTTAAAATCTTCGATATATTAAACTGAAGATATCAGGAGCCAAAATTGACCTCCGTGTCAAAGAGCAAACAAATTGAAAATAGTTTCACAAGTGATCACTTCCTCATTTATAGAGATAATTTCGTAATTGGAAAATGCAGTTCTAATCCATTAAAGAAGGTTTCCTAGGCTGAGAACGTTAAAAAAAAATATATCAAGGTTCAACTTGGATATCAAAATGGGTATAGAGCTCAAATATCTGGTTTCAGGCAATGTTTTTTCCAGCCATGGAAGCATATTTTTACTCTCCTAGGATGAAGTTATTGAATAAAAAGAACCCAAGCCAAGTCCTATATTTCTCTTGGCAGATAAATAAATACTGATACAAACAGCTCTAAAACATGGAATTCATTAAGTGTAATCCAAAAATGTGATTCATAAGTGAGGAATTAGATAACTAAATCTTCGAAAATTCAGCCAAAATATTCTAACTTTGCCTTAAACCGTGTATTTAATTCCTTATTTAACAACTGAAACAACTTCATAGGGAAAAAAACCAAGACTCACATTGCATCAAAGAGATGTATATATATACATGCACAAAATTACACCTTCACGAAAAGAAAAGAGATTGGCCAATATCTAATCTGAGAACAAAAGCCCCGAATTCTATAAGCTTTGCACATGAAACAAAAACCCAGTGGATAAAAAATTGCATTAGTGCCTCAATTTTGGCATTCAAATCCCATCCATTTGATCCCAAATCAAATAGGGTTTTTGCGAGAGAGAGAGAGTACCAAAGCCAGCGATGAGGCAAGAAGCTGCGACCACAGGCTCTTGTGCTACAAACATCCTCAGCTTCTCCATCACTGCCATCTCTCTTAAATGCGTGCCTGTGTATTTGTGTGAGTGACTCTTCTTCTTTGTCTCTGTACCTCTGAGCTAGAACCTAGAGAGCTGAAAATGGAAGCGAAAACGGATCTGCTTGGCAAAATGATCCGGGTCCTTAACGGGTCGGATTCAACAATTAACATTTGTGCTCAAGCGTGGACTTGCTAACTTCACTTAAGTTCTAACCATAGCCCAGGCTGAAACTTGGTTATGGGCTTAAGTGGAATGATAATTTGGGCCCAAGGCATTAAACTGAATTTTTTTCCTTTTCTTTTTTTTAAAAGAAAGAAATTTACAGACAGATACCACAACTGCGCATCTCATGTCAAGTAAAAGTGGCAAATCTTAATCTTGTCTTCCACGGGTATTATAACACGTAGGCTTCATATTGCAATACTATATAATAAGAGCATTTATCTTTGCATGTTAGGTCATATGTTCAATTCCCTCCACCCCAATATCGCTTTTAAAAAAAAAAAATCAAGGTAAAAGTGGAAAATTTTAATCTTGTCTTCCACTCATATTGTAAACATTTAAGCGGATTACACCACACGGCTATATTCTAGTACCATACTATGCTACATTGATCTTACGGTGCCAGTCGAATTCAAAACCTCTACCCTTTACTTGTACCACCAATCCAAAGTCAATAATGTTACAAGGGACCGGTAGATACTACATAAGTCCCCATAAATCATACCGTCAAACTCAAAAACACGAGTTTTGAACCCCAAACATAGTCTGCAGGGCGAGGGAAAAACGAAACAAGAAGCAAGACTTGTTATATACACAAAGTGGAAGAATAACCAGACAATATACACACAATCTCATCCGTCATCACATGTATACAAATACATAGGGGTATATTCACAAAGGAAAATTAAGAAAATTTAATGGAATACACAGAGAAATAAATTAACCCAAAACACATTCCCTTTTAAACAATCATTACAAGACCCGTGAAATGGTTAGAACTCAGAACTCAGAACTCAGAACTACTAGACAGCCTATAAATGGGGTAACATCCACCCCACAGTCCATCCCAGGAGCAAGCCAGCACCAACAAGACTGAATCCTAATGCAAAAGCAACAGCATACTTGGTAATGTCGCGCCTGGGTTCGGCCCGCCTGCCTCTTTTACCCTTGGGACCCTTACGCCAGTTCCTCCGCGGTTTCCTACTTTTGAATGGCATCCATGGAAGGACCACTGGGACAACAGCGGAGCCTGGCTGGTCGTTCTTAATCTGGATGCAAAGGGTTTCCAGCTGCAGCAATTGGAACCACTGCTTATAGGCAAAGAGTTGAGTGGCTTGTCTGAAGAAGAGCTTAAAAATGTGCTCCTTCTCAGCATAAGCTTGCTTTGCTGCCTTCTCGGCTTCCCTTGCACGTGTTTGAGAATGGCAGAGCGCTTCCATAAGCTGAGCTTTGGTAGGTTCTCCCTCAGAAAGTTGTTGTATCTCTGTGACATCCCTGCGAAATTTAAGATTTGAGTATCATGTGTGTTATGTTGCATACATACGAACGTAAAAAATGAACTCGACTAACTCAAATTTGACAAGACCATAAGATTTGGATATCAAAACGGTCATATAATTTTCATCTATGGAATAATTTCATCAGTTTCTTTTAACTAAATACCTTTTGGGAAATCAACTTATCTATTTCAGGATATAAAAAGATGAAACAATTCAAGAAAATAACCATGGGCCCTGAAACATCCACTGAAAATATGTAAAAACTACCTGAATGATTTGTCAGAGTGCCCTTCTTCAGCTGCATTTCCCTTTCTTTCATGTGTTATTGCAGGATCAGAATAGCACTGTGCATGACTCGTCAAATCGGAAAGACCACCAGTTTGGGCTTTCCCATCTAAAGATGTCCCCAATATTACATTGTGGTCAGAACATCCAATATCAGCATACGGATGTCTCTTATGATACATTTTCTGAGGTGGGGGAAGATCACAGTTCTCAATATGGTTAAGTGACTTCTGCGCAACCAAGGAGGCCAATTCATCTCTATCAGTCGTCCGCCACCATGGTTCAGCCCTCCCCCCTCCAATCCAAGGATGGTCACAACAAAATTCCTCGGGTTGTTTGGAAAAGGGGTAATCAATGGTATCCACCCCCATAATTTCATATTTTTCTCTCATATCCTTGTACTGAACAAGTTCCTTCATGTCCTTACCATATTGGGCGTTTACATCTTGCTTTTGGACTTTGCTGTTCTTGTGACCATCAGCATCAGTACATTCTCCTTTCTGTTGGCGGACCTCGCTAGTTTTAGGTGTTGATTTTACAAACCCAGCTCTCAGTGTTTCCATGTCGGCCTCCAACGCATTTAACTGTTCATATGTAAAATCCTTTTGGTACCCATAGCTAGGTTGCATTTGCAGCCACCATCTTGCATCGGGGGGTAGACTGGAATATGAAGGATTCCTGTTAAGAGGCATGAAACCAGCAGCAGGATGATCTGGCCCTTCTGCTGCAGTTGCAGGCCCTGCATCAACCTGCTTAGTTGTTGAAGATGAGGACTGGCAGCAAGCTAATTTGGGAGCTCTTTTGGCATCTTCTTGAACAAAACAACGATTAGCTGCTCTCTGCCACACGGCCCTTGCTTCTGCTGCTGCCATCAACTTCCTATTCTTTTGCACATTTTACTCTGTAATATGAGAATATGCTACATATTGTTTGCAAAAGAAGAAAAATATTAGAATTTAATCCAACAGAAAGGATCCTACTCTTTTAACACCCAAAACCCATTAAGGAAGGAAACAAGAGAAGAAACAAAACAATTATTCTGCAGAAGAATCCAAGATAGGTTTCAAATCAAGATTATGCAGGTTTAGCAAGCTAAAAAGAGCACTTTACACATATGACCTTCCTTAGATTCTTTGGACGGTGTTTATCATTATTTCAACATATTTGATAAATTCACCATTCACTTGGTTTGAATGATAAAATTATCACCATCTCTGAGAGACAGTTCTCAGAGCTATTAAAGGTCCATGGTGCCAGTCGAAGTTATGTACTAGGAAGCTGGAATATGTCTAAAATCTCTTTATCAGCTTCAACCACAGTTATAACTTGATCTATTTATCCATGCATCATTTATTTAATCATATATTACTAAGTGATGATTACCCTCAAGCAAAATTCTTTGCTCTTGTTTCAATTAATCCATAGAATGTCATAACTTACACACCAGAGCTAGCTCTTCATTACCTCAACAGATAAAAGTTGCTCATGAGATTATAAAGCTGTTGCTATGCTTTATTACCATGATGAAGCTGGTTTTTCCACAATGGTCAAACCAGCCACTTTGACCAGTGCCAAATTCTTGTATAATAATAACAAGGATCTTCATTCAAATCTCAAATCTCCTTACGACCATACACAAATATGATTAGGTGCAAATTCCTAACTTCCAACTTCACAGCCTAATTCCATTTTTTCTCTACTAACACTGGCAGTAAACCGGTCACTTGCTAAGTGAATGAGGAATCATACTCCATACCACTCAAAATAAATATCAAACACAACTTCAAATGAATCAAAAGAAGAAGAACAAAAACCAATGGTATAATACATTAGCAATTGTACGAAGATTTGAAAACACAAAGCATTAGAAGGTTTTAAAAAAGGCTGATTGAAGGTAAAGAAGCTAAGAACCATTACCTCCACTGGAAGTTAAGGCTTGACCATTGAAGGTATGCCAGAGAAGAAATTTAAGAATAGACACTTTGCAAATGCTACTCAAACTAATTGGCCCCTGAGCCAAATATGAGTTACCAAAGACCAACCCTTTAAACATAAAAGAAACTGAATGTTCTCTCAATTGTCACCAAAGACCAACCGTCTTTCTATAAGATACATCCCAATGCAAATGCTAAAGGGTTGCCATCAAATAATACTTGCTATAATCCGACCGAATTTAAGCACCAAATCCCATTAACTAATAAAAAATTCAAAGGAAGAAAAGTCAATAACAAATCAAAGCCTCATATTCACTAACAATGAAAGCTGTCAAATAAGACTTAGCTGACTAATATACTCTTCAGATATGTGTCTAAACAGAAATCAAAATGATATTTTCACCATTATCAGACAAACCCAGTTGAGCAAACATGAAGGAAAACACAACCAATTCCAAAACATAAATAAAAAACCACCTAAAAATACAAGCACCCCAGCAATTCAATTGCCCAAAAAGAACTAAGAAAACAGAGAAACAAACAGACCTGCACTGAATGAAGTGGGAGAATATGGGTAAGTGGGGTCCTTGTTAGATCTGATTCATTGAATTGAAAAAGCTTTAGCATATACAGAAGGAACCGTTGTGGTTCTAAGATGCAAGGTAGACAAAGAATCTAAAACCAAGCAAGAAGAAGATGACCCATGTCAGAGAAGGCCACGAGGGAGGGGAGGAGGGCTTTTGTTTTTCAGTTATCATTTCATACTTCTACGTTGTCGGTTTGCAGTTTTGTACAGCCACGCTTGCTCTCCAATTCAGCAACTATCAAAAAGCTTCAAGCTTACAACAGCACGACACCGTTTTGCTGACACCAGCATTTTCCAATATCACATGGGGCCCCATGTTTCATAATTTGGGTTTGAATACTAGCATGTAAGTTGCTAGTAGCTTGGATCCGCTGGTGGGTTAGTGACACGTGGCACTGATGGGAGATCCAAGGGCGGTGATGGACCCAACATGTATCATAGGATAGGATTGGACACTTATCCTTTTTTTTATTTTATTTATATTTTTATTTTAACGATATTAAAATAAAAGATATTCAAACACACAATCTCGAGTGCAAAAATACTTATTATTAATCACTTAAATTACAAACTTCTTGTATGATTATTTTAGCGTTTTTAGAGGGAACAGTGTTAAGGGCAAGTAAGTAAGGAGGTGGGAGGGGTCTAAATCGATCGACCAACCAACCAACCATTTCGGCTTCTCCTATGAAACAGATAAATATGAACGAAAATTGGCATCTACAGTGGACCCCATGAATGAAAGACTACATATTGGAGCATATGAGGTGGACCCCATTTTTGTGAAGGCCAAGATTTTAACTTGAATTAGTGATCAAGATTTTGATCAAACGGGCCTGTCAGATGTGTACAGTACTGTGTTTTGTTTTGTATATGATCCTGTTTTCACCTAAATGAAGTGAATAACAAGGCAGATGGAGGGAGTTTTCAGTGTGTGAGCCCATTGTTTTATGGCCAAGTGTATGGCTGCCTAATTAATTTGTGACGTGTAAGAGTCTGATTGATGTAAATTCAAGTTTCCAGTAGGTGGATCAAAATGGAAGCATTCTGGTACTAAAAGCTACTAGGAGATAGAGAGAGAGAGAGAGAGAGAGAGAGAGAGAGAGAGAGACCACAATCCTTGAAAATTCCGTTCTTTTTGACTTTTGCAGCTAGGCCATTCAAACTAAGCCCAGTTTTGATATGCCACACACACATACAGAGCTCTTTTAGTGCCACGCGTTTATTTTGCGTTCTTCACTTTTTGTGCTCTGCCCATAGACTTGACGCATTTTCCTTTTCGTTCTGCATTTTATCCGTGGGCTTAAATGGGAGTAAGCTTTCAGCAAAAACACTTTCAAACAGCTAATGAAGAACTAATGGTAAAAGTCAATGTTGAAGACTGACCATTTAGCATGTCCCTTTAGATTTCTCTATTAGGGTTGTTGTCAAATGGAGCTTTCAATTTGAATGCCATGAGAATAACCTCACAAATAAATCTAGGGGAGATTAAAAAGCTGGATGCGACAACAATTCCATCTATCAGCCCATGGCTTAAATATATAAACCAGATGCTTTTGATGGAAGAAAGCGTGCACCCTACTATTTACTTCTGATAGAGGAAATCCAAATCTCATTATGTTTCTAAAAATTCCCTACATCAACCCTAATATACAATAACTTTATGACACAATTTCAAAGAATCCAGGATACTACAAGTACAAAGGGGTAAACTTGGCTATTCCAGAATTATTTACACATGAAAATTTAAGTATAAGAACAAAAAAAAAATTGTACAGGAAACTTGAAACTCTTCCCTGTGCTTTAGCTTCACACGAGATCCAGGAAAGCAGAAGAATGAGATTGAAAACACATCAAACGGTCTTCATCGAAAAGGCTCAATCATGCCAGCCTTCCAAACAATGTTGCTTGATAAGAGTTATAGTAAACATACCAAAACGCTTTCTATCAGATTTCTTTTCTGTTGTATGGTCCTGTCTAACTTCAGGCAGAGGCAGTGTATTGTTTATACTCTGTTGTCACTAATCAAAATATGTACAAAGTTTGGAAGCGTTGAGCCTCAGAAGTCGCTTTGTACCAGTGGTAGGTATCCAAAATGTCTGCAGAGTTGACTATAGTATATGTTAGTGTCAAGCAACAATCAAGCAATGTGGGAGTATCTCTCATTCTCACCAACCTTGAACAGTTGGGCAGTTTAGCAATATTCAGTGCTTTCCGCAGTCATACTATGCATGAATGATTTTCCAAGGGTTCATATGTAACTTATAATCAATTTCATCATGTCCGACGTTGGTGGTCTTTCAGTTGAACCAGCTTTACTGTTCCGTCTCCACCACATGAGAGAAAACCATGTGAGACAACTTTTATATCCGTGACAGCAGCCTGTGACATGGAATGTGGTATCACCTTAGTACAGGTGGCCAAATGACACTTATTTTGTCTATGACATAACGGAAATCATTTATCATGTCTAACTACGGATATAAGACTTTTTAAATCATAACATTATTGCATGAACAAAGGGCTTACCTGGACTACTCCACCAAAGCCTCGAGTGCTTGGTTGCAAAAATGTGTGCCTTTCATGCAATTTCGGCCAGTGATATACCAACTTAGCTCTCTTGGCATCCCAAAGCTTAACATCTCCATCTTTGCTTCCCGTTAAGAACAAACTGGTATTTGGGATTATAGATATCTTGGTGACACTCCCTTCATTCGGATTCATTCATCAAAACGTTAAATGAAAATTGGACAAGGAAATGATAATACAGAGTTAATCTTGCATGAAAATTTGTCAGGTTATACCTGAGTGAGCCTTCGGTATATACCAAAGCATTCCATTTTGATTTTGTTCCCCAAGCTTGGTACCATTCCCAGGATGCATATCAATATTCGATGATGTCTTCATTACTTGTTCACCTTTATCTGAATGTCTATGCCTTTTACTTCTTCCAGTAGCAATGTACCGGAAATCATGAAGTCCAACATCACCACCTTTTCCGCCAGTCACAATAAGGGGGGAGATAGAGCCACTTCCTATGTCATTATCAAACACAGAAAGAGAGCGTGCACCACCTTCACACAAAAAGGACAAGGCATATACAAGATGAAGAAAAATTATTAACTGAAAAAAAAAAGTTAATAACTATGGCTGAAAAAGCAATCTACCAGAGCACGGGTAAGATTCTTGGAATGTGTGGGAGACTAGAATATCAGCATGCATCCAGATTTACCTTAGTTCCAAAATAGCAATAGCAATCGCAATTGCAAGGTGAGTGTGTGTGTGTGTGTGTGTGTGAGAGAGAGAGTGAGAGAGAGAGAGAGAGAGAGAGAGAGAGAGAGAGAGAGACCTT